TAGAAGAGGCCAATTAAGCTATTTCGGAGAAATCGGAAACGCACACGAACTATTGGCGCTAGCAAAGACATCATCGTACGTTAATGGTCTGACTCGCGATGTCTTCTCAGGTGGCCCCAGTGATCCGTATTTAAACTTGTGATGCGACCTTGGCTTTTCACTACCTGACTTGTCTATAGTACCATGCTCCCTTCGTCGCACCCCTTTCTCATGAAAGATACACAACGGCTGCGTAGAAGGATATAAGTGAGAAGTATATGCTTTGGTTTGGGCTAAACCCGGTCGCAATAATTTGTCAAGTCGCATAATTAGCTTGTATTTTGCAATTGTATTTTGTTGGCTTCAATCGGTGGTACTTCGAAGTTGGAATTTACGAAGTATATGCTTGAACGTGATCACGCACCGTAGCCTTCAATAGATGTCTGTGGTTTTGCTTCTGCATATATTCGCATACATGTATAATATCGGTCGTGGTTCTTTCACTTACATACAACATCCCTCGTGCTTCATATACTTCGTGAATGTAAGACTAATTGTATACACACAGTGATCTACCAAGCGCGCTATAACCCGAAATGCCGTCTCAAGAGGTATTTATTATATTGACATGATGTGTATGCTTCAAAATAGTGTTCATCATTATAACATAGCACGTATTTATATTTACACAAACAAAAAGACTCGACGAGAGTCCCAGCAGGGTTTGTATGTAGGGTTGCATATATATATAGGGTTTATGGCGATAAGCGGCGATTCCACAAGTGAACTATGTAATTTAAATCACAACAGGTTGCAGCACTTCTTGCTCAGTGTAGACTGTAGTGTCCCAGTGGCAAAGTAATACCCACAAAACTATCACAAAACAATGTGCATAGGAATGCCATAGCGTGAAACCATCTTGCTATAAAAGTGATACAAAATATCGAATAGAATAGATGCTATACTATCCCTGGATGCGACCGTTGCGCAGGTTCGCATATTATTGACAGGGACCACATAGCGTGATGCCATCGTCTTATAATGCATTAGTATGTGTTTTGAGAATTGATGCCTACATATTCCGGTATGCTAAACTAGAATCGCTCACTAAAGTAGTACAAACAACGTGCGTAGAGATCACATGGTGGTGGCGTCTCAAAGTATGTTTTACGATATATCTCATGAAGTAACGGCTAAGTACTACAGGTATATCCAAAATACTTCATTCACTAAAGAAAACAACATGCATAGGAACCATATAACAACAAATTTTTCTGTAGATGTATTACCACCCCCCTAGTAGTCGATTACTATTTATTCCAGTTTACCAAGTATGTTTCATTCACTCATATTTACAAACAATGACCGTAGGGATCATATAATGGGATAGATTTGTGTAATGTATTAGTGTCTATTTCACATATGTTTGAATATTTCAGTATACCATATTATTCCAAAATATGAGAGGCATAGTGCCTGATTCTACCTCTCTCGCCGCAATCGTGATATACTTCATAAACGGTATTGTAAAGTGCCAACTCCATAGATACTAAGGCACAGTTAATGGCACAAACAAAGCGGTCAGCAAAGTATCTTTTATTTGCCTGCAGAACAGATATCGAGGGATATCGAGGCTATTGGTCTTGACTGCATTCTAATAATTACAGTACACATACTATTTTCTTTTATGTTTTTAGTGTACATCGTATCAATCTAGCTCATCCCTCCAATTTTTCTCGAGCTCATGATACACAGGTGACTTAATAACACTGAAACCATCGATCTCTCTACTTTAGTACCGTAACAGTCGCCACGGTCAGAGAAGTGGCGTCTATCCCACGAGGCACTTGGACGGCCATCGGTCACACTCCACATGTCCAATACCGGTGTGTTGGTTTCTCTCATGACGGTCTGGAAGTATATCAAGATGTTGACAGTGTTAAGCTTGAAGTATTGAATCTTCCGAAGACGATTCAGGATCGTGGGAGTATTCAGTAGGTGCATACTTCCAACTCCGCGCGCATTTGCTTTGTACACATGCATATGGGCAAGCTAGCGAACAAAATACACCGTGGCTTCACGCCAAGACAGCTTACAAGAACAGAGGCTGGGGCCATTATTAAATGATTTCCGCAACTTTGCCGAGACCTTTGATACTAAGACGTACTTAAAGCCGATTCAAGCCACTTCGAGATTGAAAGGTAGATGTATATGAATATGGACAAGCCCTTCCAGGGTTGATCAATCAATCCTTTCCCTGAGAGTGCCAACCTATTAGCACGTACCTTTGCGAACCTATTAGCACGTACCTTTGCGAACCTATTAGCACGTACCTTTGCAATGCGGTCCCGTTCCAGCAGTCTATAGCGAGTTAGACACCTGTGTTTCTGGTACAGGTAGTCCTCTCTGTCGTGGAAGTGCGTCACAGACGAGCCTCTCCACACCAATGGGACATCGCCATACTCTTGGTTGCTCTTCCACCAATATACGAGCTGATACAGCAAAAACAAACGGTACTGGGTTAGAATCCACGTGTTGTGTCTTCCTGCACATATGAGCAAGTGAGTTTCCAGCTCACCTATTAGTTTCTTTTAAAACCACTGAAAACCCCAGGGTCTATAGATGTATGTTTATGAGATTTCGTACGTATGTTCTCCCTAAATCATTTGCATATCGCTCATAACTCAGTCGCTCATGCCTCACTAAATTTTTTTTTGATACCTTTCAAAACACTTGCGAGTGCGTATCAACTCATATAGAGTGTGGGGTTGAAGTAGTTTGGAGCATTGGGCTGGCTGATATCAATAAATTTATTCAGCATGACAAGTAATAGATGCAAACCAATACCTGAAGCACACACACCTATCACGCTCGCAGTGCATATAATCCAGTCACTCTAGAAAAGCTCTGTCCTAGGCAGGTCTCATAGTGACACTCTCAAAACTACTAGAACATTATTAGGTATCGACTTTTCACACACCTCGAGTTGTTTAGTCTGGAGCACAGGGCCTCTGGAGCGTTGTTAGCTCTATAAGCGTAAGTTACTCAAACATACGATGGTTCAATCAGGTGAATAGACGGATGCCCAAAGTACCTATACTTTGTGTTGCAAGAGGTATATACAAAATATCCACATGTAATTATTTGATATCGACAACGCTAAAGACTTTTCCCTAGCACGCAACTACCTTTCGTAGCGTTAGCTCGTATAGACCAGGACTCAAACCTCTACTGAGTGAATGTAAGGCAAAATGAAACACCGCCAGCGTGGGACGTGGCTGATGCCCTACGGGGAGTACTATACGCGCCTCTTGCCACATGTTGTGTATACCGGCACTTCCGGGCCATTCTCGACCTGCATACTCCTGGGGGTCCTCATAGAAATGGAAACCTGGAGTGTGCATAGTTGTTATAAAGAAGCATATCGTGAGTTGTAAGATAGCGGTGCTCGTGATAGTGGCTTGTTTCAGCGTCTTGTGATATTCACGCACATGCATATATCGGGGAGTACAAGTAAATGGCCATACTTCTTCATATACTGGTTTTATGAATAATACTCGTGTAGATCTCAGTTGAGACACATTTCTTGTGACGCAAGCAATTTCAATAAAATAGAGTACCTTCCAGGTGCGTTTGGTTTGCTACTATATTAATACAAAGAGGAGCCTGGATGTATTGTGAATATCAGTGTCTACTGAAAACTAGTGCATGCTGAGTGCATTTATCTCAGTGTCAGGTATTTTGAATGTGTCGGATGTGTTTCCAAAGACTTCGCGTAGTACGAGTGCTCGATACTTTTGCACTCTTGCAGTGAGCGAAGAGTCCCATACGTTACACATAGTTGTGATGTACTTAGTACATCGCCACATAGTGATTTTGCACCTACAGAGAATACCTACTCATCGACAACAATAGTATACAATAATCAAACGGGTCGTAATCATCGTTCGTAGAACGAAGCCGGCCCCACAACCGCAGAGAAGCCATTGTATGAAAGCAAGTGCAGGAGATGATACCGTCGAGAAAGTGCTCAATATACAGGTAGCACATAGCTACTTTGTAAGCACAGACAGCTTCGCGCACGAATAGGATCACAGTACTGTAGGTGCTAACCCAGCAGTGTCTTTGCAAGTGAATGTATATCCGACCCAAACGATGCCAATCCTTGAAAGGCCGAATAGTCGTTCTTGGAGCGCGTAACACAGTAGAAGACTCGGTGCGAAAAGCTGAGTGCAGATGCGGTACCGTGGTGTACACGCAAGAGATATGAATAAATATATACCTATATCTATATATATATATATATATATACATATATACATATATACATATATACATATATATATATATATATATATATATACTATATATATATATATATATATGTGTGTGTGTGTGTGTGTGTGTGTATATGTATATATGTATATGTATATATGTATATGTATATATATACATATATATATATATATATATTATAATCATACCGTCTATTCGTGGTCGAGTAAGCTTTTGAAAGGTCATTGTGAAGCGAAGCTTCTTGAAATGGAAAATTCGTAGTGGATGCTGGTCGCTCCAATCCCAGCCTGGTAGCGTGACGTCGGCAGTGACTGTGGAGATCAAGTACATATGTCGAAATGAGACGAAATATTTGTTTAGAACCATGTGGCTCTGTATATGCATCGGTAAATTTGTGAAGTTGCTTCATACACCACGGTCGATCAAGTTTGCTGCTGTGTATTGCGAATTTTTGCTGTCGGCATGCGATAGCTCGTTTGACCAAGCGAACATGTCTCTGTAATTACGACTTACCATATATATATGAATGTGGCACAGTATTTACAAAACCCTGTGCATAATTAATCCACAAACATGTTGTCCAGGACACTGGCTCTCGTGAACGATGTGCTCAACTAGTCTATTAATGGTTAGTCCAGACTGCTACTTATGAAATGTGCACAAATGAATATTTTGTCGACATGAACCAACGAAATTCTCAATCAATGTATCTTGGCTGTTTGTGGAGCTGAGAATCATTGAGTGTCACGTACATACCGTTACGTGAGACAGATGATGCGCGTTTAAACATACTGGATATATGTCTTGAAAAACGGCAAACCTACTGAAAAGTCCCTAGCGCACTATAGTATTTTTCTGCTTCAGCTTTGCGCCATCGGGGTGCTGATGGTATTCGATTAGTCTACCTCAGTACGTGAATAAGATAGTACCAAGAGTATGCTAGATGTTTTGAAATAATACAATTGTACTCCAGAAATAGGTTCCAAGCGTTTAAATGTTCTTGAAGGTACATTCACAAATATAGTATATGGGGTGGCACACTCGACATAGATATACGCACAAACCTGGGGTTTCGCTATATTGCTGCTTAAGTGCGTACGTCAAGATGTCAAAAAGATAGCCTTCATCTAGCGAATCACCAAGCACGTGTATCCATTTACCTGTTTCAAACGTGGAATCGGAAAATAGGAACTGGTATGGTGAAAACTTTGAAAGACGGGAACAAGTTTCGTTGGTATCACAGACGTGGCGTGATAGAATTCTTGCTACATAATAAAGATTGGAGCCAACATGGCAGGCGGCTCGATATAGGAGCGACTAGATGTCAATTTCTACATACTTACACGCATGACACTTGATCTTACGATGATCGCTTGAGGTGCTATAAAAAGGGAATCATCACAGCTTAGAATGTAGGATTTGAATTCAAAGCATGCAAATGTACCATCATTGGATCGTCGAACGCAAGAACACGGTAACATAATTTGAAACATGGTAACATGATCCAAAACATGGTAACATGATCCAGTACATGGTAACATGATCCAAGCGTCATAATGGGAAGTGACCTACGCAGTATAAACATCACTACAAAACAGAAATCGTGTGCCTGATTTGTACTTACCCATCAACGCAGGCCTAGGATAGAACCAGTACTTATGGTAATCATATGGTGTGTACACCCAGAGAGCCTTCATAGGCTGTTCCTGCTGCCATGCACACTGCGCCTGCTTCTTATTCATTTTCTTCGTCAAATACAGATCCCATTCACCTGGTATTCGCAATAGAAACAACCTATTTTGAGATCCGCTAAAAATATAGGATAATTTCGAGTAGGCATTCAGTTCGAAAGAACGTGACACCTTGACTAAAACGAATGACGACACGACTCGGTGTGTTGCCTCGAAGAGTAGCTTGTTTTGAACCACGCCCATGCGTACTTATAACTATAGGCAGACGCGCAGGTATAAAGAACAGCTATTGGGCACAGAAGGTACTTATCACACACTTTTTAAAACGCTTAGCACACGCTTAGCAGATTAATCTCAGCTCATACTTTGTACACGCCTATCGTCTCAAAAACACGCAATTTGTACCACTTTTAACCCTTATCGTCACATATACCATACACACCATCCATGAACTCGACCCAGCCAGTCCTGAGTGCAGCTGCCGCAAAGTCTGGCCACCCTACCTCCCAAGCAGACTTCGCGGCCGGGTCAAGAACCTGTACACTGTCATTCTTGCGACTGAGCTTTCGCCATTCACCCCTCAAAGGTGCATTGACCAGAGCCTCGGCACAATCGGAAGCATCACCTTGTTCTACCTGATACAGTAGATGGGCATTGGGAAGCATTGGACAATCAATCATCGTCAATGTGGAGATAATAATATAACAATGCTACTTATATATATAATTATATAT